CGATTGTAGTGAGGATGAGTGATGAACTGGGAAATTTCCACTGTGACCTCTGTTTGTTCATCACGATAGCGTTCATAGTCTCCTGTAAAAAGACAATAAAATGACATAAAGGAACTCTACAAATAATGCGCACTAGGCTATAAAGATTAAGAGCGTATTATATAACCTGACCTTGAAATAGTGGAAACAGCTGATGAAATTGCATGATGAATTGATGAAACTGAATAACATTGTTAGGATTCGGGTTTGGGCCATAAAATCAACAGCGTTTGCAGTTCACATTTTTTAAGATCATGTCTTAGAAAACCTAAACAATGGGTGAGATTTCAGGCAGGCAAACACAAATGATCAAAAAGGATCCGGTGACCAGATCCTAGCTAAGAAATTTGAATCTTGTTATAGAGATCTTCACTGTTTATTTTATGAGATCCTAAATTTCCTTTATTGTGGAATCTTTAGCTATACATAATCTCTCCTAATTTGCTGATATATCCTTAGAATAAGGAGATTGATTCCCATTCACTTTTGGGTATCCATGTGTTGCAAAGCAGGGGCTGGAAACATGGGTGAATTCCCCAGGAGAGGGGTCATCTCCTTTAGGAGAACCACATTCTTCAGATTCTCATGGGGGAATCACTCAACTGGCTGCACCTGGAGACTCTAGCTCCCCATAAAACCAGTTCCTAGGGCAGCCAGAGGATGTCTTTTCACAAACCCTCATGGTTTAGTAAGAGAGGAGGGTGAGAGGGTTTTTAAACAAATAAGGTTTAAGACTAATTGAATAAAGTTTTTTCTTTTTTTTTTAAGTTTTTTTTAAGTTTTTAAGGCTCAGTTGAGCCTTTGTGGGTGGGTTTTGTAACAGCCATGGTGGCCAGCACGGTTGGCATGTGCTATTACTTCTGTGTGAGAATGGTGCTGATGGTTTGGAGCAGGTGAATGATTTTATCATGGTTTGACTTTTCAAGGAAAGTGCTACAAACTGAGCTAGGGATCAAGGCATCGGATGTGAACTGTCTGATTGTTGCCTAGGGGACTGAGGTTTGACATCAGTTTCAAGTTGGCAAAGTTCTTGGATTTCTGGGTTGCAAGGATGTTGAAGGGGCACATTGACTTGGCTGTCCAAGATTTGCAACATTAGGGGTGAACCTTTTGAAGGTTCCAGATAATGGATTTTCCATGCTCAAGTCCAGATCCCCTGTATTGCTACACGAGGACAAGAATGTTCGAAGCCACCATACCTGTTCTTTTGCTGATTTTTGTTTTTTTTTTTAAGATGGGGACAAGCGTTCTTTTTTTTTTTAACCAAAGACAGCCCAAATTGTGCAGGAAGTGTGGTGAACTATTTCATTTTGTAGAAGTGTGTATGAAAGTGGTGTGGTAGATGCAGAGATTACTTGCACATACTGTACTGAGTGTAACCTGTGGATGTGAAGAAATAGATGGGAAATGTAACTAATGGTTTTATCCTACTTTCATGATATTCAACATGTCTTAAATGTAAGGAGTATTTAAGTTTAAGAACAAGATCTATACCATCATACTTGGGTAATTTGACTGTTTGTTGCAAGAGTACGGCCTACCTTTCCAAAGTGGTTACGAAACTAGGGAATAATTGTTGAAATTTGGCCCATCAATTTGGAGAGGTCTGAATGAACTCCGATCTGATGGGGCAGCAGTTTTAATTGAACGTGAAAGGTAATACATGCTAGAAGAGTGTTAATAGTGGATTTGTCTGTTGGGAGGTCTGGAGGTACTGTTAAAACTTCACTTCATATGGATGATGCAAGTTTTTTTTTTGTACTGACTATGAGGAGTTTAAGGAATCTCTGAAGGTACAGTAACAAACCTGTTCTGCTGTGCATCTGGGGGTAGATTTAAATGGGAACAAATGTGAGCTAATGCACTTTAATGACAGTCTTAAAGAGGAAGATATAATTCACTGAAAATAACTTTAAAGTAGCTTTTGTAACTAAGCAATTGGGAGATCATTGCACAGAGCCTGACTTACCCAATCGGACATGATATCTGGATCCCTTCTCCAGGCAGTGGGCAGCAGTGAGGACCCAGGAGTTGTCAATCAGAACTCCCCCGCAGTGGAATTTGCCCTGTGCGTTTATCAGCAGCACCTAGAGGGAGGGATAAAGGGCACAGTACACTACACTCCTGCCTCTAAAGCATTCACTGATGGGTATACACACTGAGAAGGCAACTCATCAGAGCAAAAGCACAATAGAACTGTGTAATGAACATAGATTAAGTCCATCCCTTATGTTAACCAAACCAAACGGCAGCATGAAAACTTATTTCACAGATAAATTATCAGATATCTTCACTGATGTGTTAACTCCTTTTGCAGAGCTCAAAGGATTAAATCTTTCATTCAAAATTATCATTGGGTATTTATTTTCTTTACGTTGCTCTTATGACTTATGTACTTCCCAGCTGTGTACTTAGCTACATCATTGTTGCAGTATGTGCATTAAACTACACATCCAGTTTATACTAGTTGTTTCTTCTACAAATGGCAAGATGCTAGATCAATTCAATAATGTATTTTGCATTTTGTGCAGTTTAAGATTTAGTCATTTTTCAGTCTGTGTGCACCTTTCTACTGTTTGATCTAAAAGCAGAATTCATGACTCTTGTTCTCTGGAAACTTTACTATCATTCCTGCTTGAATTTTAAGAAAATGTAGTTAACTGTATAATACTGCCTGTTCAGCTGTGCACCTGGAAATACTGTACCTCTCAGCCATCTGCCACATTGGTAGTTACCTGGTGCTGCCTATTACAGAATCACAGATGACCGCAGTAGTTCTAGAAACTGACAGATCACACAGCTGTGAGAACACATCAGACAAGGAAGACAGTGCTGGGAGGAAGCTGCCTAAGAGGACTTGTATAGTAGTGTGGGTTTACTGTATGTCCTGGGAAATTGGGAAAACGGAACAACCCTCAGGCTTTAAATCAGTGACGTTATGTGTATTATTAGTACATTTCTGTTGTATTGCCAGTTGGTTTGTTTAATAAATATCAGGTCATTGGATAACTGAAGGACAGAAGATACAGGTCTGTTTTTGTCACATGTTGAGACAGTTCAGTGACAGCTTGGTGTTATTAGTGGTTCAGTGTGTACTGTTCAATGGATGTGATTAACCCGGAGCACTATTCAGTGACTGAACTCCTCCCTAAAATGGGGAAATCATCCAAAGAGAATGAAAAGACTAAAAATATTTAAGGGGCTTTTCATTTCTGTTATGGAGTCATTCTCTGGAGTGAACAGTTGAAGTGGGACTTTCCTTAGTTCGGATGACTAGAGCTGTGCTGCACATAGAACAGCGCATGTTTAAATAAATACACCTGTGTAGAAACAGTTTAATTCCAAGCTGAACCACAGAAATGAAGAAATGGCTCTTCAGGTGTGAATTACTTTCCCATTGTCTGTTCTTTCTAGTTTTCAGAATGAACCTGTATTTGTTCCTTTGCAGCCAGCACACACTGACGCAGCTCCAAGCTCAAACCACTATACTGTATACTGTATGTGCAGGCCTGTCATCACCATCCAACATCACTGTGGTTAATAACTTAATTAGTGCATTAATTAAGTAATTAATTACTGTTATTAATTAATTATTAAGTCCTTACTGGTCTCGAGTTAATAATACAACATGTGGAATCAGCCATGTACATATCATATTTGTGGATGTAGAAGTGTTCTTTCTCTGCATGCTCACATACAGATCTCAAGATAAAGGTCTCAGAGATTTGTTACTAAACCACACTTCTGGTCAACTGATTTCCAAGAGCTGGTACCTGCCAGGGGCTGTGGCCCTTCTTCCCCTTCTCCCCTCCCACCACATAGGGCTTGAGGCCTGTCAGAAGCCTGTAGCCCCTTATGGCTGGGGTCTTGTCCACTGCGATCTTCCCACAGGCGAAGGGCACTGCAGGGAGACAACATACACTGCAGACATGCTGGGGACAAACACACCAAGGAGAGCAAAGACTTATGGAAGGCAGTTAGGTCATAAAGTGGGGAAAATGTACATTTAAAGCAGTTTGGTGTGACTACATACACACTCTGGGGGATGTTCAGTAGTGTTGGACTGTGCTATTGGCACTGTACCAACCTAGCGCTCAGCATGTGTTGGCTAAGACTAAACCTTGAATTCTTCATTGCTATTTTTTCTATGCGATTTTGAAAATGACAGTACTTAAACATTTTAGAACTAAGTAGTCTGGTGTAATATTTTATTCCCCCTAAAAACTTTCTTGAGACAAAACAACCAGGTATTGGGGCTCCTGGGCCTGCAAAAAGCTGCAGTTTTCTATTAAACAATTGATTTTCTTTCGAGTGTTACAGTGCTGCAGGGAGCTCACAGGCAAAAAAGGCCTTTTTTTGAGTTGAGCTTCCAAGTTTCTATGTTGTTTTCTGAGTAAAACACTACATGGGTTCAAAATGTACGTTTAAAAACAAGTAAATGTTGTACACAATTATCTTTCAATGACTTGCTGTGGTAAGGAATGGGCAACTGTTATTTTGACAATCCTATCACCAGGCTATGAGCTCTTGTCTAAGGACTGATCTGTCTGTCAGTGCTGCTTTCGTTCTGGATGACAGGGTCCTCAGGCACAGGCAGACGGAGGAGGAGGGAGCCCTACCTGAGGGCTGGCAGCTCCTGCCGTCATCGGCCAGGGTGTACCCCAGCAGACACCCGCACCTGCGGCTCGTCCCGTTCCCACTCTCCTGGCAGGAGTGATCACAGCCGCCGTTGTCCTCCGAGCAGCTAGTGGCAAACACCGCTGAACACAGCACAGGCATGGCTGTTACTTACAACACTTTGAGACTGAACCAACACCTGGACACTTGATGTAGCCCACTGAAAGGACTGAGAGGTCCTTTTCAGTGGGCTACATAGCTTCCGATGGGAAATGTTCAGTTCCGTGTGACATGAGTCATTCCAACCACCAAGATGTACTTGTTCAGATCTGATACTGACGCTTCTGGATAACACCAACATCAGTTCTGAAAAGACACTTAAGCTAACTAAAATGAAACTAAAGGGGGAAGTGTGTTCAAATGGGACACTAATGCATCTCCACATGCCAACATAAGTGGTGCACAACACAGATGTACTTCTCTGCACATTCATGTAAAGAATAGTATTTCTTAGAGAGGGTATTCTGTTACCTTGCATACCACACAAACAACGTAGAAGTGTGCAGTCCTCTTCATTACACACCAATTGGAGAGACTCAAAAGATCTAATGATGAGTCCGATAGACAAAGGGATGAATGTGCTGATCAGGTAAGGAGAGCAGAGGGGAGTGAAAGACCCAGCTCCAAACTTACAGAAGTTACAGTGTCTCCCTTCAAAGCCAGGATGGCAGAGGCAGGTGTAGGAGCCGACCTGGTCGATACAGGTGCCGTTGACACAGTTGTTGGGAACGCACTGGTCTCCGTCTGAAAGGAAGTACGGACAGGCCAGCCAGTTACCTAACATCTACTCTCACAATCTGTTAGAATAAAACTGAACGTTTGTTTTAACCATACAAACCTAATACGTTTGTTTTGAACCCTTTCAGTTACAACAGAGCGGACCTGAAACAAGTAATCCTCATGGGTACTAAGTCAACCCAACGGTTTTCCTCAGAAACCACAGCCTGACAGCAATGCACCATTGATCAAGCCCTGGAGCTTCACTTGGTGCCCTTCCTACAGGACATCACGTCCTCACACTGCTCTAGTACTGCCCTTGTGAGGTGGGAGTGTGACAGCTGTGCACAGATCCCCTGCTTTCCAGAGTTGAGCCTCATTGTACAGTTGTGGGATGAACTGGGATGACATGGTATTCGGGTATATGCTTGCCCAGGCTGTATGAGAGGACTGGGACAGAATCCCTCAACTGCTATCAAGTGGCCACACACATCCTCCGAGCCTGTGAGGCTTACAGTGGACACCCTGTTAATGACAAATGTTAGTCAGTGTAATTAATTTAGACATACAGTATGTAATGTCTAGTCAATAAAATGTTTGCACACATGCCACAAAGGAGAATTTGTCATTTTTATGATAACTTGTGAATGTGATGATTCTATAAATGAGAAGTTGCTTTTGATATTCAGTATGTGTTATGCATATATTGATACAGTATGTGCATCTGTTGATTTATCAGTTTCACAAATCCATTGAAGCCCTTTTTAAAATGCATGGGTAAGTTAAAGAAAATGGGATGCTTGCATTCCCTGAGCACTCATCAGTGAAAGACAAGCTTAAAATGTTCTCACTTGCCCAGAGCTATACTCCTTATCCTCCAGTGTGGTTTTCAACTCAGGCACACAAATTTACACTTTAACATATGAAAATCTTACCCACATATTTCATCCAAAATTTTAGCTGCAAAAGAAGAGAAGATGGACAAAAATCAAATTATGTTTTCCATCATATGTCATCAAGAGCAGGAATGTGACAAGATTTTCTGGCCAAAGGCTTAACAGAATGAACTCCAATAATTCAGACTAAGATCTTTGATTCTGTATTCCAGCTTCTATTTGTGGTACCCAAACCTGCTTCTGGAGCAACGCCTTGGTTTCTGCTGGTTTTCACCCCAGCTGAGCTCTACATGTTCAGGGCCAATTGATGACTTAATTGATCTATTTACTCGTTTAATGTTTATTTAACTTGTTTCCACAGTCAGTCCTGAGTATGAAAAATGTTGTCTTTCAAGGGCATTGCTTTCAAAAATGTCAACACACAGAGCTCTCCACAGCCTCTCCCCAACTTTCTTGCTGTTCTTTATCCATCCATTTTCTAACTGCTTCTTCCAATTGAGGGTCACAGGAGAAGCTGAAGCCTATTCTGGCAATATGAGCAAGGCAGGATATACCACTGTTTTTGCTGTCATTTCTGACCAAACTAGCTGACTTGCTAGTTTAACGTTACTTCATTGCCAATACATTGATGGATTACTACTAGAGGCCCAACTGGTTGCAGTTCTGGAACTCAAAAATAGGTGCAGGGTTCATTCCAATTAAAAATCCCAATTCTTAGTGAAATCCTACCTTTTAAGAGCTGAGAACAAATTTACTAATACAGTTGCTGCTGACAGAAAACTGGAATTAATGAGCCCGTGATTAAGAATTCAACTGGTGCAAAAATACACAGAAGATAGTTATTTTCCTGTACCTGACTTGGGAACCAATGGCCTGTACTCTAGTAGTGAATTAGTACTTGTTGACCTGAAACTGTATTGTGTAGAATTTTGGATCTCAGTGAGCAATTAATGTACAGTATACCATGTGTGATATATGCTGTACAATTTAAGCAATAGCAATTTCATGTGATAGTGACTCCCAGATTAGGAAGATTTCTTCCCAGTTTATTGAAACAGCGCACAAGATGCCAGGACAGCAAGGAGCAGCTCCTCAGCTTATTGACAGGTGGTGTTGTACCACCATGCAGAGGAATAGGCAGCATTACTCACAGTGGCGTCGTCTGCCTCGAAGATCTCACGGGCCTCCTCATAGTCACACGTCTCCTCCATGCACTCCCGTTCCAGATTGCCAGGCTTGATCTCCTCCAGGAAGCTGTTGGCTCGTTTCTGACGCAGGATCATGTGCGCCTGCTGGCTGCTGTAAAACACTGGGATAGAGGGAGCCGGTCATCAGGCTGAAGAGATGCATCATGTGCTGACCCAAGACCCAGCCTGACTGACCTGCTGTTTTTTAAAAACAATGGGGGTCACTAATTAGGGGTCTTCTGATTGCTTCATCCAGAAAAAGAGCTTGTACTCTACTGTCAGATAAGCAAGGCTAGGCCTGATCAGTGCTGGGATGGGAGACATGTAAAACACTATGTGGGTGGGTGTAGCAGACCATCAATACAAAAAGTTGTAATTACAGTTGACTTCCCACTAGAGGGCACTACGTGATCTCTAATCTTTCTAAATAGTCTCACATTGGTTGTTTAGATTAGCATTGTTTAATGTAATCATAATGTTTAGATTAGCATTGAAGACTGTATTGGCACATTCTCACATGGGTGTAATTAAGGTGTTTAAGGTCAGGTGTTTGGTATCTAAGGGGCATGCATGGAGCTATTGGGATCACAATTTTTTGAGTAATTATTTATTTTTGGGTTTATCCTAAAAAGCTGTAAACCACACCCTCTAGTAGCTTATTTTGTGAAGTAAGTGTAATTACTTTGGAATTTTCTCAAGCAAGTTGGATTGAGTTATCCTGATAACTGACTGCAGGCTTTCTGTGATTTCAAAACCGCAAACTCTGGTTTCAGTTGTCTGGTTAAAGCAAATCAGGTTTAAGAAACCGGACTAGTTCTCAAGTATTTTGGTAGGCAGGAGGATTCAGTATCGTGTCAGCAAAACCACAGCAAAAGAAAGTGTATCTTATTTCAGTGACCACGAATTACAGCTCCCTACATTGTGGTAACAGAAACTCTATGTTATGAACTTCTTAAATCTAGGAAATGGCCAGTGAAGGCACACACAATAAAAAAGGTCTTTTGATAGAAATGGTATGGAAGTTTATACAGATCCCTGTCAGCATCCTGCCTGTGTCACAACAGCTGGGAGACACAGAGCCCACTCATAGCAATGACTTTGTAAACATGCAGTACACACGCCACATCGCAGTAACATTGTTGGCCAAACACAGCTTCAGAACCACATAGAGCAAACACCACTCACACACAGAGACATCAATATGCGCAGAGCTGTTAACACTGCAAACACAAGGAACTTGGCATTTACAGATGACCCATACACAATTCTCCTGTGTTGAATTATATATCAACAAATGGCACCAATGGCATCCTCTAGCTTCTAACTCTTTTCATATTCTTAGTATTGCTTAGTTGCCCTTCAAACTCCAGCCTGGACCTCCCCTCAGTCCCATCATCACTCCTCCCTTTAAAACTTTCAGTCCAAAGCTTAGCTGCCAAAAAACAAGGAACTTGGCAAAGTCTTTGTTTTTCCACGGTGAAGCTCCTGGCAAACTCACCCGAAGTGCCAGAAACTGCACTCAGGCAGCCGTGAGAGAGAAGAGTGAGCAGCAGCAGCAGCATCATTGTGCCTTCTAGAGAGGAGAGAAAACAGCAGGTCAGGAGCTCAGCTCAGCCTTACTCATAGTTACACTGAACCAGACCCGGCGCCACGGTGGGAACTGAACTGTCCCGCCCCCTCAGTTTTGGACAAAAGGATTTTTAACACTATCGTTTACTTAACTTGCGCCCCCAAAAATAGTTGTACTTTGTCAACGGTCAGATAACTACACCAACCCCGAATTCCCGGTTACTACATCGGACTGATGTGCAGGAGGGCTATCCGTCTAGGAACGACACATATTACATAGCGTCTGCGTTATTGGGTGTCAACATTATTTCGATCTTGTTTGCTCAGGTGGACCGACTCCTTGCAGTTGTTTATCCTTATACTTACAATCGTTAAATAACTAGGACTGTAGTTATAGACGTTTGTGCTTCCTGTTGGGTTTACAACTATTTTTTAACGATTCAGAACCTCGTTACCGTCGAAGTAGCTGCAAAAATGAATGCATACGGTATTTTGTCGCTCCAGGCAATAATCGCGAGAGTGCTGATGAACGTGAAACTGTACTTCATTGCTAAATACCAGATTGCTCGTCGTTATCTTCTATCATGAAGCACTAAGCAATGGCATGGTTGCGAGATATCACTTGGGTAGTTGCAAAGGCTCCGTTTCAACCGAAATATCACCGCCCTACAGATTTGTTCCCTAGCGCCGGCCCTGCCCTGAATTAACACACCGCGAAACACGGCTGGAGAAAAGCACTGCTTGGGATTCATCCTCTGCCTTAATAAGAGCTATAGAATTTGAGCTGTGTGGAAGGGCTCATTCTAAATTTGATCTTTGCACACTGAACAGTGAGACAGACACCTGTTGTGTGGAAAGTTCACAGAGAAAGTATGGAATTATTTGGAAACAATGAGAGGAAAGGCTAACCATTGTCAATAAAAACCTTTAGGAAATCTTTGCGTGAGTTCCAATTCTCATGCAATGATCTCTCCTAAACATGACATTTATGGTAACTCCAGAGACTGACCTGCACTCAGATTATAAATATAGGAATGCAAAGCATTACAGGAAGGTGGACTTTATGTGTGTCTTTTACCAGAAAATTACCTTATTCGCAACAAATTAAAACCTAGTTCAAACCTTCGCTGAACTACACTGTGATGCCTTGCAACCCGGCAGAACTTTCATCCCTGCTGAGATGTGGGGCAGTGAGAGCAGCTGTGGAAAAGCACAGGAGTGTCTTTCCAACCCCTTTTGGCCAGGATTAATTCAGGAGACTACAAATGGTGATATTGGAATATCACTGTTGTCCACAGATGAGGTTTTGTGCTTGTCCAGCCTCGTGATGCCTGCTGATGTGGGCCACCGCCAGATTCTGAGCTGAAGTGCATTTTGAAACTCTTGCAACAAACAAATACTGTTACTTTTAAAGTCACTTGGCCAATTCAAATGGCCTTTAAAACTGTGCACCATGGAGCACTGGAGTGTGGATCATACTGTATAGAAACTGCACCACAGAGAATAGTTCCGCAGACAATGACTGCAGAAACCACAGGGTGAGATGCTGGCTTAATGTGACCCACAGTATTGTGTTTCCACAATAGCCCGTTAACATGACACACTGCTGCACCATCCAGATCAGTATTCAGTGTTGCTGACTGAAGAAAATGTTGTCTTTGGGGACAAACAGTTACATTTCTCCACAGTACACACGTAGTTTTCATAACAAACACATCTTTGAACTGGCTGCTGGCTATACATGTGTTTTTTTTACCTACTGTGCATGGAAAAAAATCACTATCCCTCTTAAATTCAAATTTAAGGGTATGAGAATACCCAAAATCTTACAGGAAGTGGACAGATCGGCAAAACAGCAAACAACAGTGCAAACGCTGTCGTCTCTCTCAGCTCAGTGTGGCAAGCAAGGTTGAGGAGATCGTGGAGATTTGAAACATGCAGAGTGAAAGAGAATCTTACCAGCCTGACCTCTTTAAGCCCGCCTACAAAAAATAGCCAAGGAAAAAGATTTAAAAGACGGAAAAATGTAACTCACCCCTATATTTGTTTCTTAAACTCCAAGTGGAGGGTTTTCCATTTGTGTAATAAGTTAGTGATTAACCGCCTTTTAAATATTGACACAGAGAGAAATTCTGGTCACAAGTGCTGAAAAAATCTCTGTAATGCAGAATAGCTTAACGTGAGATGCCTTGTTCTGGGACAGACTGGTTGAACATGGTACTGATGGAATCAAGAGTTATGAATGTGTTCTTGTTGTTAGTAGCATTAGTATTGATGAGGTGTAGCCTCAGTAGAATATCCTTGTGATATATGCACTATAAACAGTATACAGATATTCACAAGCAAATGGTGGCACAGTGGTTAGCATGACTGCTTCGCAGCGCTAGAACTCTTGGTTTAGTTCTGGACCTGGGGGGCAATCTGTGTGGAGTTTGTATGTTCTCCCTGTGTTTGCATGGGTTTCCTCCAGGTGCTCTGGTTTCCTCCCACAGTCCAAAGACATACTGGCAGATTAATTGGCTTCTGGGGAAACTGGCCCTGGTGTGAGTCTGTCTGCTCTGTGAGAAACTGGCATCCGGTGTACCCCACATTGCACTGAAAGCTTGCTGGCTCCCCTGTGACCCAGAATTGGATGAAGCAATTACAAATGGTTGCATAATTATACAAATCATTTTATTAGCACCTTAAATATTAAAGTTTATTCATTTTAGAGACAATTGAATTTTTATAGCTATCTGAAGCCCAAAGATCTTCCAGCTATTTCCTTATGCCTGTTGAAGTTGATGCTCTGGTTTCTTTCAAGAAATAGCTGGATGAGATCTTCCAGTCAGGACAGGAGATATGTCTTTATACAGAGATGTGTGGGAGCATGGAACAAGATGTCAGACCTTCCAGAAGCTGCGTTTCAGATGCCTGCTTTAAATGATCAGAAATAAATGGTACTCTGATCAGTCTTTTGGTACTTTCTTTCACTTATTAAGTACCTCGTAGATTTAGTTATTAAATGTTTTTGATTCTATATTTTAATTGCTGAAAAACTTTATTCAAACTTGCTGTCTGGCAGTGTGACGGTACATCTGACTGCCTCCCAGCTTCAGAGTCTTGTGTTTGATTCTGGATCAGTGATCCTTCCGTGCTGAGCTTGCATGTTTGCACTCTGTTCTGCATGTTTTGATTAAACCAATATGGGTTTTCTCCAGGTGGTCTGGTTTATGCTGGCAGGCTGGATTGTGTACTCCCTGTTGCCTTGTAATCAGCTAGTGTCCCTTGGGTCTGGGTCAGATGTAGGCTTGCCATGACCCCTGACATAATAATAGCTTTACTGATGGAGCGGTTTGAAAAAGGAAAGGTGTCTGTATCAGTCCTTCCACAGCAGGCTTGTGTCCAGAGACATTTTCTAGTTCTGAAAAGGAAAATAAAGATTGTCCTATGTTGTTAAGAAAGAGCCATGTCTGGCGAATGTAGGAATTTACCAATATTCAAAGACAGTAGTATTCCTGTAATCTGTGGGTTTCCTGGAGTCTCTAAACTACAAGAAAGCACCACTTGATGTTCACACAACACCCAGAGGTGCAAGGGTACAGATATCTTCCAGGACCCCAGCTCAGATCCTCAACACACAGGCAGTGAGTTGCCACACTCCACCAGTATGCCACCTTCCAACCAAGATATGCAAATACATTTGTGTAGTGCTTTAAATAAAAAGCAATTATTTAAATAAAACATCCATCCATTTTCTAACCACTTCATCCAGTTCAATTTCTCTGAGGAGCCAAAGCCTATCCCAGCAAGCACATATTGTGTAATTGTGAATGAAGGAACACAAAACACATTGTTTTTTTGTATTGTGTATCTTACAATGTAATACAGACACATGTAACGTTTAATATGAACTGGTACGTCAGTTGACTGTGGAAGATGACATATTTAACCAACAGATGGCGCTGTTTAACAGGATTACTGTGATTGTTTTTGACATGCAAATTTCTCCTTTAAAATAAAACTCTTTGAAACATCCAAGTAGAAATCTGGAAGGAAAACTGTTACTGGTCTGCTTTGGGTGAGAGTTGGGATTACAGTTTGAGCTGGGGTCAGTTTTGGTGTGTGGAGATCTACTGAAACACCAGAATCTGAGGATGCTGCACAACACAGGGAAATCTTTCTAATCCAGCACAATCTACCCTTAACTTTACGAATGGTTTGTAAGGGTGCTTACATATTTTCCTCTTATAATTACCAGCTGAGACAGCCCACTTTCTTTCCTGCTGAAAAACTGCAGCTCAAACATCCCACAAGACTGGAGTTCAGAAAATTCACAAGGCAGAGCAAGAAATCCATCTGCAGAGATTCAAACCCGGCTCCCTGTGTTAATCTAATTTCTTACAATAAGACAATTGCCACTCTGGACAAGTGGGATCATTAGTGTTGGCGCTGTCTCTGTGTCTTGAGTGCAGGGGGTGTTGACAGAGAGCCAGGCTGCAACACTGAAATTCCACAGCTAGAATCTCCATTTCCCTCTGGTCCCTGACGGTTCATTCAGGAACCCCGTTCACACCTTTCACCGCCATTCCAGAAGGTCCAGTCCAGAGACTCCGTAACGTCTGCCTTATGGGGGGGGGTGTGTGTGTCAGGACAGCAGCTGGTCCTCGGAGATGGTTGTCAGTGTGGGTGGAGGGGAGTCTGTGTCCCGCAGTGGAGGGGTTCTGTTCTGTGGCAGTGCTGGCTGGGGCTCTGCCTTGTGCCTCTGTCGCAGCTCCTGCATGGGCTGCTCTGGCTCCTCAAGGTAAACCTTTTGGCCGAGAGACTGAAAAACCCACAGGGAGAAAGAAAAGCTGTTGTAGTGCACTCAGGCCACGTGATTTAGTGAAGAGCGCAGGTAAGGTGCCAAAACGGTCCCTCTGTCTCAGTGAAGTGCTGGCATTTTATGTGTCCCAAAGCTCTGTTCTTCATCGGGAGATAGAAAGTGTTGATACTCATCTGTGCAGTTCACTGACATTCTTAAACCTTTTGTGTGCTCTGCTATCAAGCTCTTTAAATATATTGCAGCATAAATATATATTTATATCTGTGGTGGGAAAACTAGGCGGGCACTGCAGCCTCACATCGCTGGGGCCCCAAGTTCAATTCCAGGGGTGTTGGGAGTTTGCTTACCCCATGTTCATGATGGGTTTCCTCCGGGTGATTAAGTTTCCTCCCACAGTCCAAAGACACGCTCGTAGGCTAATTGGCTTCTGGGAAAACTGGACTGAGTGTGAGCGTGTTCGCACAACGAAGCGCTGGAGCCCCATCCAGGGTGCATCCTGCCTTGCGCCCATTTCTTGCAGACACAGCCACAGACAAACACACATATCGCACCAGGGCCAGTTTTCCCAAAAGCCTACTGTATTAACCTGCCTGCATGTTTCTAGACTGGAAGAGGAAACTCGAGAACCCCAAGGAAATGGAAGCAAAAACACAGGGAGAACATAAACTCCACACAGATAGAGCTACAGTGCTGTGAGAATGCCTCTCCCGCCCTCTGTATATTACACTGTTCTAAAATCAGAAGAAGCTGGGTAGTAGGTGTGGAGTTTGCAGTATGATGGGAGCAGGAGTTCACCGCGGCCAATACAGGGGATGTTGCGCTGGGAAGCAGATGGGACTTACCTGGTTCTCTGCCAGGGCCTCCTTGGCCATGTAGTGCTCCCTCTTGATCTTTATTTCCACCTCCTCGGGAATGTCCGGCACCATCATGTCAATCATGCGCCCGATGAAGAACACGAAATGCTACAGAGAGACGGAGAGAGAGCCTGAGGGCGACGTGCGACACGGCGCAGCGAGAAGCACTGACAATAACGGGAATAAGGGACCTGGCTCCTGGGCACTGTCTCTATCAGTCGTACTCATAAAGACACAGACAATGTCAAACTGCTTTCTACCATACGGTGTCGTGGGAAGCCAGAGCCTACCCGGCAAGCAACAAGCACAAGGCAGGGTACACCCTGGACAGGCTCAACCCTGCTTAGCTTCAGTAGGTAGCCAGGTGAGAGCTGCAGGGTGAAATGGCTGGTGGCACCCACATACAATGAATTTACTGTTGCATTCAGTAGCCTACTGAGTGATAACTCAGTGAGTGTGATTGTGCTGCACAGACACAGATCGGACTAATTGTTAAGCAATAAGAAATAGCATATTTTATTAAAAACTTCAGCTGTCATTTCATTCATTTTGAGCTGCACACATTTGACTGACACCTCAAATTCAATGTATCACTTTAAGACCCACGTCTCTGCCCAGGTGAACTTAAATAAGCATTCTTGAGAGCTAACAGTGTACTACTGATAGAAAAACACTTGTATAGAAGCGCATAAACAGAATCTCCTGGGAGTGCGCGTCTCTCTGTGGTTGTGCAAAAGAAAAGAAGGAGAGTCTGCCTGCCTATTACACTTCCCCTCTCCAGCACAGAATGTTACATAAAAACTGTCTCAGAAGTTCATCATGTTTGGGTTGCAGGGCTATTGTCTCTTCCAAAACAACAGACACCACATGCACAATCATATTCAGATTTCATATTCAGACATATTTCTGTGAATTCATGTTTTTTTTTAAAAAACCAGAAGATTAATGCATTCTCTTTACTCAAATCCTATTCAAATCCTAGAGCCAATACAGAAAACACGAGCTGAGATTGTATTGCTGTACTTCCTGTGAACACCCGTCAGCTTGCAGAAAGGGAGGTGATGAGGTAATGACTCTGGCTAAGCCTTGTATTAAGGCTTGAGACATCAGAACCCACTGTACCTTCCCAGTGACTTTCAGGTGACCAGCCCCTGATGGCAATCTCTCAGGATTCAGCTGTTGAAGTTGCCTTCTCCTTCAGCAGACCAGAGGTACACCCTACTGTTTCTGTGTTGCTCCTCTGATTTTTCCAATCAGCCATACAGGACAAGAATAACAACTGTTGATCTCGAACAAGACTGGTGATCTATACTAGATCATAGAGGGGTTTGCCAACAGCTTGCAGAGGGGGCTTTAATGCTGTAGCCCTTGAACAGTAGAAGCCCTCAGTTAATCCCTGTTTCCCTGCCTTTGATACTTACCGGAGGTATTCTGCACAGTTTGAAGAGTTGAAACAGTGTCTATACATGTCCCCTAGATATCTGCCTAATGTGTACAAAGTGAAAATACATTCCCTTCCATCTGATCTATAAATATTGAGCTCACAATCACACACGACACCCACAGAACCAGTGCGTATGCACAGCCCCATGTTATTCACTGTGTCATGGCAGGTTAGGACATCATTCTTCTGGGTGATTTTATTTAGCTCAGGCTGCACATGAGTCAGTGACAGAAGCAAGATTATTTTCAAGAATGAAGCTTACCTCAAAAATGATGACAAAACCCATGCGAATGGCAAGCAAATTGAAATATTCTGGTAAGTAGTGGCCCTTTTGGTCCCTAAATCCTCGATACCTGTTGATTTAAAATGGACACCCAAAGTTCTCATCAATAACAGACCAAGGCAAGAACACAACAAGTGGGCCGTTTGTTTAAATGTGCTCATCTGCTTCCCACAAGCAAGCAAGTAATATACTGTAATACTATTTAGTTGGTTTGGAAAAAAATACACTAAATACACTGCAGTGACATGACTAATGCTGAATGTGTACCATAGGTCTAATCAACCATGAAGTTATTGATTTGCATATGAATACATATTAGTGTATTGTTTTTTACTACAGCAATTGGGGATTAAGGTTTTGGAAGAGATCCTCTTAGTTAATATAATAAATGCAGCCACAGGTGTCTGTGGCTCACCTCAGCTCATTGCTATTTAATCAATAGCGTATGTCAAGTCATTTTACAGTCAATACTGGTGTTGAACCTCAACTGACCCTGGCAGAGTAATAGATTAGATTGGATAAATGAGGGCACTTAAGACCCAAAGTGAGAATACTTATTCTCCTTCTATTTAAACCCCTCGGTTGCCGGCGCCAGTGGGCCACGCTGTACCTGCACATGGTGTTGTTCTGGGTGAAGCTCTCTGGTGCAAAGGACAGGGTGAAGTTGACGTAGCCCTTGAGGCTGCCCTCTGTGGTGTAGCGATAGTACAGCCGGGGCAGGAAGTCGGAAGTGAACGCAATCAGGAAGGCCTGCCATGGAGACAGGGGGCAGAGGAGTCATGGATCGCACTGCGCACTCCTCAGAAAGAGCCCCACCTTCGACCCCTGGAGCGAGACCTCGTGAGAGTCAGCCCCGAGAGGGGTGTGCTGATCGGCCCACTCTTTCGGGTGCAGCCTGCAGGCTGTGTTTTTCCACCGGGTCAGAGCCCCCACCTCAGCACCGATCTCACTCCTCGATCAGGACGGGCTTTGTTTTGCTGCTGTACATTCTAATCCAGTTTCGGTTTAGCAGTAGAAGCAGCAAAATGAAGTACATAAATAAAATATGTGCAATTCTCAAAATACTTAATCCATCCGTTTTCTAACCACTTTTTCCTATTCAGGGACACGAGGGAGCCAGAGCCTATCCCATCAAGCAACGGGCACCAGGCAGGACACCCTGGACAGCCAGCCTATTGCAGGGCAGGCACAGACATGCACACACTCACAGAGCTAACTTTCTCGGAAGACAATAAACCCATCAGTATATTTTTGGACTGTGGGAGGAAACCCACATGAACATGGGGGGAACATACAAACTCCACACAGACAGCACTTCAGGAAGAGCCAGGGCCCCATCACTACAAGGCGGCAATGCTAACTGCTGCCCTACTGTCCTACCCTAAAGTATTTTTTGGAATACTTTATAAGGAAGAAACTAATTAATTAAATTAACTCAATTTATGTCAAAGATTAAGTAGCCTAGGTGCTCCGTATGAAAATATGAACTTAAGTAACCAAGTGTAATGTGTACATAATTTGGTTAACAAAAAGTGAATCTACAGTCACTAACATGAATAAGCAGTTTTTCCATTTTACAAACCTCTTTCACTCTGAAGGTGCCTGAACTAGTGATTTGTTTAAAAAATCAAAGTATCTTATTCTAAAAAGTGTTCCTCCTGCTCCTCAGCTACTATGTGTGAATTTGATTTTCAGCTGAGTCTCAAAACCTTCTTGTGGCCTTTGATAACAGGCCCTAAAGATACAAAATACACTTCCAAAGAAATGACATTTCTGAATGAAATGATAATCCCGATGATAATCCTCAATCCTCAAATCCTCACTGTCGATGAAGTGAGAAATGGTAACGATCACAGCAGTGGTCACTACGGCTGTCGTCTTACATTGCTGACCACAGCCAGGTGAGTGATGACCTGCAGGATGTGGAACCAGATGCCGATGTCCTGGGCACGCTCCACCACGGGCCGCCGGTACTCGCACACGAACTTGTGGGCATCCAGACGCACCTCCACCCAGTTATTGAGGAGGGCGAAGAGTGGCGCCAGGGGGCAGGCAGCCACGAAGATCGTGATGAAGCCGAACTGCAGCACTGCGGGTGGGGGGGAGGACCAGGAGCAGAGTTATCTACACACCCATGAACACTCCTACTCCGGGAAACCAGTCAACTGTAATCCTGACCCTGGTCTTCAGTTTTCGTTTCAACAGAACTCTGCATTACTTCTTTGCATCTTGTTTTTTCACTGCAAACAATAATTATCTCTCTGGTCTCTACCCATTGATTCCTGAAAGTTCCCTATTAAATCTGTATAGCTTTGACTGCCTAGAACCACAGTTGCTGACCCCTACTTTAAAAAGCACAGGGGCAATGCAGGGACCAGCAGAGATTGACTCACCCATCTCCAGATACTCATCAAACAGCCCCTCGCACACCAGCAGCTGGTAATCTGCCTCCCAGGGTGGGAGACACACATCCGACTTCCCCTGTGCCTCCTTATTGTGGAATTTCCTCTTCTGCCACCAGCTTCTCAGCTTCCTACAGACAGAACAGGGAGACAGGGAATAATACAGTTAGAAAGGAAGGGGTGGAGGTACAGGCAACTCAGAGGGAAGCCCAGACAGAGCTGAGGAGGATGACAGAGAAAGAGGCAGTGAAGAAGGAGAAGAGACTGGAGAGGAGGGTAGGGGAAGAACCAAAAAGATGGAGACAGAGGGATATGGAAATGGATTGGGAGAAGAGGCACAGATGTGATGTCAGAAACTCACGGGCAGATAAACTCCTGGACATTGTTGATGACCTGTTTCCCCACCATGATTACTAGAAGCTCCTGGGCCAGTTCAATCAGACAGCCCCCAGCGCCACACTGCCAGCAAAAGCACAGGAGTCAGTCCAGAGACAGAGCCTTGCTTTATAACAAGAGCATTACCTCTCCTGTCCATGCTCTTGTCTTCCTCTGCCAACTGCTTGTCTCCGCCTCACTCCTGTATGTATGCATTACTAATGAGCTCAGTAATGAAAAGGGCCAACCCCAGAATCTGTTTCAGTGGAAAATGTGTTGATTTACTGTATCTATCCAACTGTGAATGCCTTTAAGGAATATTCAAATAAGTAGGCAGAGATACTCAAAACTGTAATGACACACAGCACAGGGAGCAATGCACCACACACACAGTGAGTCTCTACCTGTCAGCAGTGGTATTGAGCACATGGTAACAGAGATGCCAATGATGATAATTCTGTTTATTAAATCCAATCGTACTACTTCGAAAACAAATGGAATAATTCTCAGTTACACAAAGAATTGCCTGAGTGGCAAAAGAAAAACACTTACATCCTCGTTCCGGATTCCCAGTAGGGTGTGGTAATTTCCAGGATACCCCACAAACCTGGGGAGACAGGGTCTGTAACAGTGCGCTTTGCTACAGGACGAGGTACGTGTTCTTGACGGATGACCAGATGAATTACCAGTATGGACCAGAGCAGACTCACCGGCCCTTGAAGAAGGCAATGTAGACAGGAGAGGAGTAGAAGTTGATGAACTGGAAGACGAAGACTTTCAGGATGAAGGCGTCCTCGTATTTTGTCTGGGTCCTGTGCATCTCTTCAGGGCAAGATAGGAAACATCATAGATATCAGGCCACACACAGAAAAATCATAGAGATTGCAGAACAGCAGAGAACCTCAGCCCCAAATAAAGAGGAAATCTGGGCAGGTGATCTGGGATTTCGCATTTGATCTGAGTTTTTAGACATTGCCATTACTGTAGGGACAAAAACTGGATTGCACGTCATCACATTTCAGGAACGTGGGAAAATATATATATAGAATTCTGGACATATGAACAAGTTAAGGGTTTATTCCATGCTGAAAACAGAAGAAAGGAAACACAATGTTTCAAAGCGTGTTTCCTTTCTTCTCTTTTTGGCATGGAATAAACCTTTAACTTGTTCCTTTGCAGCCTGCGCATGCTGATGCAGCCACCTACTTGAGCTATTATGGGCATATCACCATTTTCAAAGTTCCGGATTAATGATTAAACATCTCGTAAAAAAGGGTCAGTTTATTTTGTCTATTTGCATTCTTTGCTGAGGTTGGCTGGGGCAGGATGAGGAGTAACGGGTATAATTCGGGGGAGACAGGGGTCCACGCAGCGACAGGAGGTGCCAGGAGCAGTGTGTGCAGTGCAGTTGCGGGACACTCAGTCAGTCCTCACCCCAGCGAGTCAGGATGTGAGCCAGGAAGATGTAGGCCCGGGACAGCAGGAGGATGGCCAGCAGGTTCAGCACGGAGCCGGTCAGACTGGCAATCCGGCCTGCCTGCAGGGAGAGAGGGGGATGGGGTGGGCTCAGGGGAGTGTTAACATGGTTGCCATTCAAATCAGCTTTTTAAAAGAAACAGGACATTTTGCAGCACTCAACTTGCTATAGCTCCGCCTAAGAGAGACAGCATTTGCAACTCTACCACACCAGCTGAAGGAGAAAGCGCTTGATTAGCTCTACGGCGCCACCCGGAGGAGACAGCCCTCAGGACTACATGGAGGAATCAGTCTCCCTTGTAGACGTGCAGTTCTAAACCCTATTTGATTCAGTAAACATGTGTCTGTGCGTGTGTAAATAGAACACAACTGCAACATCACTAATTTTGGCAAGTTATCAGGCATTCCTTGGGGCATGTCTTTGGTACAAAATGATCATGCCTGATTTCACATGTGCAACAAGTTGATCACTGCCGGCTTTCAAACCCAGGTCTCAGTGAGGGCTGTGCGAGGCAGGGAGGAGCAGACTCACAGAGAAGATAAAGAAGGGGTTCTTCGACCTGTAGATGACGATGCTCAGGATGGTCCTGTACAGGATGATGGCAATCAGGAACATGAGGACAACCGTGATCTGCAAGGGGCAAAAATTCATAAGTGCTTCATAAGCACGCAGTGTTTGACAGTGACATCCAGCCAGGAGTGAGGAAATCATTGTTCTTCAGAATACATGAATGCGACTTGGAGGTTTTATCAATCACTGTAAAAGGACAGGCACAGTAATATGAATGCAGTGGTTATACGTCTAAAACTGAGACACTGGGAACAGTGATGCAGCCGAGATGACGGCAATGTGATCATCTCGGGTTAATAAATCATAATACAGCAGATAACTTTGGAGAGTTGGAGTTGGTGGCCCAGAGGAACAAACAGCGTGTGCGTTAGTCATCGGTGAATGGTGCAGTGTTAACACAGCCAGTGTCGGCTGCAATGCCCCACCATGATGATGATGACCATGCAGCCAGTCATAGTGCGGTTGAAGCGCAGGCTCTTAGGAAAGTAAGGCTCTTCTGCTCCAGTCACGGGGTTCCGCAGGGTCATCGGTGCCATTGCAGTGAACTCAGGCCTTGGCCGCTCCTGTAACATGGTCACAGGTGGAAATGAATGGATTCTAACCTGGGTTTGTGCAGTAACTGCCTACTAAAAAGGAGATCTGAGACCCACTTCTATCTCCTCGAACTCGGAGCAGTCCCAGCGGTGGGAAAGGATGGCGGTGGTGCGTTTCCAGTATTCGAGGAAGGTGACGGCCCAAAGAGACATGAAGATACTGAAGAACACTGTTCCCCCATGGTCAAACAGCAGCCCTGCCTGTGGGATACACACACATGCGTTCACACCCCCTGTCCTGTAATGTTTTATAAATCTCTCTCCTTTCCTGTAACAGGTTATACCACAATAAGGAGTACTCTCTGCCGATGGGGTACCTTGTATGTGATACAGATGCTGGAGAGATTCCAGAAGGAGCAGATGTTGCAAAGAGGGCACATGACGAAGTTATCTGTGCCATCGCAGATCTCCCTCCTGTAAAAGAAAGAAATAATTTCTGTGAAACGCGACACATCATACAGCATGGTTAAGGTCCAAATTTGAATGATCATGTTACCTACTGTGAGGAGGATCATAAAGCACAAAGAGATTGCGCCGTAAACTGCCCAGAACTGCTCACATGCACAGATACACACTTGTAACAAACAGAAAGAGCAAATGTTTTAAGGGGAATTCTCTCTTAAAATTGATTTTGGTTTGGGCACTTTTGACGTTCCCTATAGGGTATGTCCCAATACACTATTTGCACATCTGTATTTTTCTGCACTTGAAAAGGAGACTCTGACGCCAAGAAGCTGAGTGCCTGGGGCTGAGCTTTTGTTAGCTGTTTCTTAATGAAGATTTGTGTTTCTAATAAACCATGTTTGCATTACTCCAGATATACCTGAGGGTTAGGTCTGGAATTTCTACTTTATTGATGCAGCAGAAGCAGAACTGTGATCAGCCCTCTTCCACACTATACTGTGTGTGCAGTAATGTTTGTTTTCATACTTTTCCTCACTGTGCTAAATGATTTGAGAGCAAAGAGACACTGAAGGTATACAAAGTGAAGTTAACAATATGCTCTGTCTTGCAAGTCAGGTTTTGAGATTACGACTAATTGAAATTGTTAAGACTGCTGAACCCTGAACTTCTTACCTTTATTTTTGACATGAAAACGTTTTGAACTTTTGGATAAAAAGGGACTTTCTCTTAAGAAATCCCACTTTGCTTCCTTCATCTGTCTGCCCTTCAAACTGAATTGCACAGAAAAAGCACAAGGAGCCTTGAAACTGTTTCTGTGCAAGCTGATAAGAACAGTGCCCCCTTTGTGTGTTAATAGGATTGCCACCGGTTGCCCTCTTTGCACACAAGGACCAAAACACATGGAAAGCAGCACTCACCCTCTCCCTCACGCGAACGGATCTTTAAAAGCAAACGCAAAAAGCAAGCAAGAGGATTGCTCCATCACATGCCTTATCCCTTAGGTGTCTACTTGCACCACATATCTCTTCATTGTTCTGCTCGCTGCACACCTGTCTCCCCTGGTATCTCACAGCAGCGCACCACCCTGAAGGTAAACAGAGAGTCCGGGACAGCCGCCCCTCCTCCCAGCACCCAGGGCACAGGCACTTCAGATCTCGAGGAGAAGCATCAGATCACTCATACGGGCAATAAAGGACAGCAAGTGTGGGCATGACGAGTCTGGACCCATGATCAGGTGAACACAAATCTGCTACTGATTATACGACTTATAGTATGTATGAATTGATTTACAGATTTTAAGCTAACACCACAATGTTCAGGATGGGGTCACGAGGGTTCTGTGCTAGTCTGATGGGGGAGCGTTCAGTCTTGGTTACTCACGCAGGCACGTCTGTCATCATGAGCCAGATTCCAAAAACGAACACCAGGGTCCCCACGAAGGCCGCAGGCAGGAGCCAGCCTGTGTAGAATCCTGTAGAGACACAGGATGCTATGAATGGGTTGAGGCGAGTAGACTGCAAAGGAACAAACACAACGTTTCGGCCATGGGGCCCTCTTCAGGTGTGAGCAACCTGAAGAAGGCCCCACGGCTGAAACGTTGCGTTTTCTTTCTTCTCTTTTCAGCATGGAATAAACCTATTACTTGTTTGGATGCTATGAATGCCTTTAGAAACCACTGCGTGGGCTTTATTTGCAATTATGACAAAAAGCAGAAAATGTCAGCAGTTAAAAGCTACTTTGTTTCTCCCTTCTATTACTTCACCATCATCAAACATCACCAATGCAAAAATTAAAAATGTACTTCGCACTTCAACAAATGCAATACATTTACTGTCTCATCCAAACGACAGCACCTCCCACGATGTTACGAAAATGTGGCATTGGTGTGGAAATTCAGGTTGTGAGCGAATGTTGATGCCTACTAGCCACTTACAGCTAGGTTTTCCTTAGAGCAGAGCTGTTAGGGCCTGATTCTGGAGGTATGCTTGTAGAGCTTTCTTCCAAAAGAGCTCCTAACATGCAAAAGCAGCTGACTACTGGCTTCATTGAACCTATATAATAGCCTCTCCCAGATCTTCAGGTGCTGGTGCTTGAAAGAAAAGACCTGCAGACACACTGGCTTTCTGGGAAAAGGATTGGCCCAGTCCAATTCCCGATGCCAGTACTGACTAAACCTTGCTTAGCTTGGGAGATTGGATGGGATCAGAATACATGCCGCTAAATGTCTGTAAGGACACCCCACTTTGCAAGTGTTACAGTAATAGCAGCAGCAAGATTATCAGCACCAGTGATTATGAATCAGGAGCAATATTAACACCAGTGGCTGTGTCCTACCCAGCCAAGCAAAGTAGAGGGCAATCTTCTCTCCATAGTATTCCCGGATGTGGTCCAAGGGCTGGTATTTCTTCCAGCAGGCCCAGCGCGCCCAGTACTGGTACAGAATCTGACGGAGGCTCAGGGTCTCTGGGTGCACTTGACCAGGGGGGGGTTCAAACGATCCCTGGAAACGAACATCAGCCATTTTCACAATGACATCTTAACATGATTTGTGAACTGTCTTATCATTACTTTGTCTTGTTTTGGTCTGCCTGTCCTAATGTGAAGTGGATCTAGCATCTTACATACAGGAGCCTGCTTTTATGAAATATCTGTGCAAGAAATAACTGATTTGTTTCCAGAATAAACTCCATAACACACTTTTTCAGTGAGTTTGTCTGGCTCATAGACACTGAGACTTCTCTAGCAACAGTGGCAGCGTGTTCGCCTTAAATCCGCACAGCTTACTTTCTCCAGTCCATAAGCATTACAGACCAAAATTATACCACTACTACCTCATGCTTACAGACCAAAACTACACCACTTCTGCTTGAGTTACTCCACAAATACTCTACCCTGGGTTTGCATGATACTCCATCACTCCATAATATTCAGCAAAGAGTTGGCAGTCCACACACTGTTTGAGCCCCACTGGGGCAGCTTTTTAGGACAGGAGGATGCTTACGTCATGCAGGGGGTAAGCTGCTGTGAAAATGTTTTCGCTGACCAGGCGGTCAATCCCCACTTCTCCTCTCTTCATGGCTCCATACGGCATCCGGGCCAAAATCTCGTAGAGCTGGAAGGGGAGAAGGTGTGAGCAGGGCTGGAGGGAGACTGAGAGAATGCAGAGCAAACGGAGGCAGGTAAGATAAGCTAAGGAGAAAACGTAAAGACGGGGCACGCAGCACAACGCAAGAAATGAAGGAAAAGTACACTCTTTTAAATTTACAAGTAAATTCAACTGAGGGACCTCCAACCTCTAGCCCTGAAGAAACAGAGAGTGACTCCGAAATGTACTCACAATCTGGTGACGCTGGGTGTTCTTGAAGAAAGTGTCCTGATTGTCACTTCCAAGAAACCTGTGGATACATTGCACTGATTTGAAAAGCAGATGGTTTTATTTTCCAAGTTGCTGATAATAATAATAATTCCTTACAATTATATAGTGCTTTTCTGGACACTTCACTCAAAGCGCTTTACAGATAACGAGGACTCCCCTCCACCATAAGCAATGTACAGCACCCAACTGGATGATGCGGTGGCAGCCATAGTGCTCCTGTACACTCAACAATGGTTAAGGGCAATGGGAAATTTGGCCAGGGCACTGAGGTAACACCCCTACTTTTTTCAAGAAACACCCTGGGATTTTTAATGACCACAGAGAGTCTATTGTTAAATGTGTAATGTCTCAGCTGAAGAACAGCACCTTCTTAGAGTATAGTGTTCCCATTAATATACTGGGGCATTAGGACCCACACAGATTGCAAGACTCTCTATCAGCCCACTAACACCTCTTCCAGCAGCAACCTTTCTCCCATCCAGGTACTGACCAGGCTCACACCTGCTTGCTTCCCTGGGTTGCCAGTTGTGAGTTGCAGGGTGATATACTGTAGTTGCTGACTATATAGATACACATGGAGGCTCTGAGGATGAATAACAGCAACTAAGATCTCCCTCACATCTGCTGCTCTAACGCACGATGGTGCAAGCTGACACTTTCTGAAAAACTATAAATACCATAATAAGCCTCTCTCCGTTTCTCATATTTGTCTTTCTGCACCGTTCTTTCACCCCATCTCCACCTTTGCAGGACTCCCTTAGTTAATTTCTTCCTCTACTTGGGCATCCAGACTTCCTCATCCTACAGCCATGTGTCTAATCCCCATCTAAAAGATTAAGCCAAATATTCTTGTGCCTGATTTATCTATAAATTTTCCTAATTACATTTTCTTGTTGGGAATTGTCATTCCTTGTGACGGTTCTTTTTTATGTATTTAATAAATAATTGAAAAAAAATAAATGAACCAGAGAACACAAGCAGATACATTGGGAAGTGCATGTTTACACAAAGAGTTGTAGGGGTCTGCAGTTACTCATCCATGTCAAAGCTGAAATCCTGACTTCTTTCAGGTCAAATAGCCACTACAAACCAACAAACTGGATGGACCAATTTGTCTCCTCTTCTTTGCAACTTTTCCGATCTCCGGTTGTCCATATATGCTTGATGATTTGTTTTAAAATTGGACTGAAATGAGGCTTCATAGAGGACTTTCCAGTCACAAGTAAATTTCATGTAACTTCAAGTGCAGATTTATTGAAACCAAGTTCATTATTTATGGATGATTTTTTAGTTGGTCAGATATGTTACTTAGACATGTAGCTTTAAAAATGATATTTCTTTACAAAACAAAGTCCCCTTAAGTATTGTACAACAGTTTACTTACTCATTCTGAAATGGCTACAACAGTGAAACGCGTCAGTCTGTTTGCACGGAGTACAGGTCCTTGTAGACTCCGATTTCCTTAAACACACCTTTGTATAGTCAATGGGTCAAGCCCAATCTACTGCAGAGCAATAAAAGGGCTTGCAAAACCACAATGCTTTTTCTCCCCTACAGCTTTGCATGTACAGTATATCAGCATCACATTTCACTTGCAAAACATTAGAAAGTTTCCAAGAAAGAAGCCATTTGGCTCATATAGCTTTCAAGGTTGCTAGCAAGCTATTCACTAGAGTGATTGAACCAAGAATCTAATCCTAAAGTGACACAAGGTATCAGCGTCAAGCGGCTGTTTTTGTTCCAGACTCCCACAAAGCTCTTGTCCTTAGAGTTTGTTGGATTATGCTAATTAAAGGGCTCATATACAGTAGATGCCATGAACTTTTACAAGAAGGTTACAGACTGGTCATCTGCTTTAATGTCACTATATTTTCATAATCACATCGCTTTCAATAACCGCTTATTCAGTTCAGGGTCAGGGTGGCCCAGAGCCTATCCGGGGAAGCACTGGATACAAGGTAGGATATGCCCTGGGGTGGGACGCCAATCCATCGTAGTGCAGACACATAGACACTCACACTCAGGCTAATTTTACAGAAGCCAATTAACCTACCAGTATGTCTTTAGACTATGGGAAGAAACATAAAAACTCCACATAGACGGCACCCCAGGAACTGAACCCAGGTCCTTAGCGCTACAAAGCAAAAATGCTAACCACTGCACCACCATGCTACCCTATATTGCTGTACTTTGATTCCTAAATTGCATCCTGTGCAATTATTAATGCGAAAACCTGCAATTATTGAGCCATGCCTTTTGTCTTTTCACAGGTCTATGCCAAAGAGAAATGCTTAATTACTGTTTTTATTTCCAATTGCTATACTTAACACAGCTTTCTTTACTGTTCTTCTATTCTTAAGGTTTTGGAAAAGCAAAACCCTTACCGTTTTTGATATCTGATTGCAGTTCCCTGGCTTTTCATTCAGTAAAGTTTTTTTTTCTCCTGATTTTCTTGTTGATAAAACTATTAAACCAGTTGGGCCACCTGTTGCTTGATCTTTGTTATTCACTGGAAACAAATTATTCATTTGTGACAGGAGTGTTGGGTTACATTTGAGAGCTGGCCATTTGGCCCAACCAACTCATTTCGTTGCTATTAAGAATCACAACACAGCTGGGGAGCTTGTACCAGACCCCTACCACTATTTGTGTAAAGAATCAAAACTGCCCATAGTAAACTGCCTCACTTTTTCATAGTTATATTCTCTGAATTGTGCTGTCATTTTCAAATCTACCTGTAATGCAACTCTACTATCCTCCAAACGTTCCATATTTGAGTTGTTTCATGTTAGGTTCCTGCTGGAGGTGTCATTTTTATCAATGTGCAGGTTAGCAACATGAGTGTGTGCATAGTCGGCACAGTGTCAGCCGCATGTGAGAGTAAAAGCTGATACTGGGACTCCCACGGTAATGTCTGCAGGAACAAAGTCAGCCCTTGTCAGTGTTCCAGCCTCGCTGTACCTCTCCAGCTTATTGTTCCTGAACTGGCAGGTGTAGAAGTCAGGCGGGGGGTTGGGCACATCTTGCTGCATGACATTGGCGATCCCCAATTTCTGCAGCACCTTCTCCGACCAGTTGGACATCTTGTGAGGCACTACCTACACACACGAGGAAAGGATTAATCTCCCAAACTCCCTGCTGTCCTGTGCATACAGTATAAAACATCATTGCATATAAAACACACACTCCACATAGCATATGTACTGTAAATGTCAAAATCTGTCCTGCGAAAACTGCTTTTTAAAGAGGTCACGCTTCTGTATGCCTCTCAGGAACTTGCGTGTGTTTTATTGTGGCAGAGTGCTCTGGTGTCCCTGTGGCTCCAGGCTCTTGATGCAGAGTGAAGATGAGGTAGGGGGACACACTGACCTGCAGGGGGACACGCAGGCTGATCTCCTCCGCGTAGTAACACAACACGCTCCAGGGGGCATTGAGGAGCACATAGGTGATCCGCGTCTTCTCTCGGATTTCAACTTTCTGGAAAGACAGGCGAAGAGACAAACCCTACAGGTCCGCAATCACCCAAAACATACAGCTTGCTGTGTACTTTATATGAGCATGAGATTGCACAGATGCTCTTAGCTTGCTTGCACTTAAACTTTGCCCAGGGCTGCTCTGTATTTTTCAACTTAAGGAGTGTAGAATCGCTGACCCGTGACAATAGCACAATAGAGTGGGGCTGCTGTGTGTTGCCCAGGGGGATGCAATCCCCTGGTGGACAAAGGAGCTTCATCTGTCTGGTAGAACACAGAGACATTCACATCCATTGATCCCACTCACATGTGAATAATAATAATAATTCCTTACACTTTCTGGACACTGCCCTCAAAGCGCTTTAGCGATGCAGCTGTGTGACACTCGCTCACAGAAAGTGGGCCACTCTGATAATGTAAACTCCAAACCGGCTGATAAGCTGCTATTTGCTCACTTTGAATATATTTGTTCCTATTTGAGTAGGCAAGACTACCAGCTGAAAGGCTTCTATTCTGTTAAATCAAAATTGTACATTTTGTTCTTACCAGAGGAAATTCTTTTGGTTTATGGTGAAAATAGTGCCTGCCTGGTGTACTGGTCACAGTCACGATCTGGCCTTACAGTGCGTTATAGTGTCTCTCTGATCCAGCTTACAGATACTATCAATCCAGAGAGGTGAAGAGATGTGACCGCTCACACAGTGACCGTAAAGTAATGCCCACGCCTGTTTGCTCCCTTGCCCCCTCCTCCTATGTCAGAAAACCGGGAAGGGTCCTCTACCTTGTCCATCTGGATGCCAACTTTCTGCAGCCTGCTCAGGAACCTCTTCCTGTATTTCTGGTGCATGTCCTGCGATGTTCCAGCTGCCTTCCCATCTGGCTCTGTCGCTTTGGGATTCTCCCTTACCTCTTCCTCCCACACTAGGACAAAGTCTGGACACAAGGGATAACACACATAGTTACTCAAAGGCAAGCACATATACGATAGCGCCTATGCACGTCCAGTACACGTGTCATTTTATTTGTGTAGCTATGAAGCAGGCATTGTAAAAAAATGCAGTAGAAAGAGCAGATAGATGAAATGCAGGTGTTTTTTACACCTGCATTGGGCTTCTTAAATTTTAAAGTTTTACATCTCTTATAGCTCTGTAAGCAGGAAATGAGGGTTTGTGATGATCCTGCCCTGGTCATGCACTCTGTCAACAACTGGCCTTTACTCACATTTTCACGCAAGGGCAAATTCAACGGTAAGGCTAAGCCAGAAGAGGATACTTCAAAAATATGGACACACAAAGTGCAAACATTAACAAGATACTGTAAATACACACCAGCTAAGGACACACTGTGTGTAGAGCAAACAAACCAAATACAAATACACACCAAAACTGACCAACACCTGCAACGCATACAATACAGACACATTATTGCATGGCAAAAAGACAGAGATGCACAAGCACACGTATTTGCGCTCGGAGCATGCACACAGTTCCACAAGCAGTGCAGCTGCACGCGAGCAGGAAATCTAACACTCCTCAGTTTCTAGATTTGCATAGTTAGTGCAGGGAAATAATTCCTGCACTTGTGTTATCTCACTCCACGGAGGGAGTGGCAGGAATTTTCTAAGAGTGTGAGAGAGATCAAACCAGTGGTATTTCATACAGTTGATAGGCTGATTCAAATTGGAAAATTTGTTTCAGATTGGACAGGGGCTCTGTAGCTCAAGTTAAAGCGTTTTTCACAAATAACAGTGCAATTAATAATAAAGGCTGAATAGGTAGGGTGTCCTGCGTGCTGAGTATAGGAAAACCCTAGAAATGCTACATGCATTTTAGGATCTATATCATCTCATTTTGCTGTTCTGGGTCCAGCAGTTCTCACCAATCCTAGTGACGCCATCGCTGAACACGTTCTTGTCCTGTGGCCTGGCCTCTCCCTCCTCGGCCTGGACATTTGCCAGCATGGGTAGACAGAGAACGAGAGAGAGAGAGAAAGTGAGCAAAAGGAAGAGGGGTGGGTTTAGTTTGTTTTTTTGTTCCTCTGCACGAAAGACACACCATGGGCAGACCAGCCCTGTAACTTCAAATCCCTTTTCAACAAAGTTGCGCTTCAAAAAATGGGATGATGCCTCTCAAAGCTCATGCCCATGAGACATGGATATTCGGAGCCCCAGAACAAGAAGAGGAGCGGGTCACAGGCAAGACCATGCCATCCTTTGTGGACAGAATTAGACTGAAATTTTATCTATCTTACAGCAGAGCTCATACCATCATAGGAACACAGGACCCTGCCCTCTTACTGATAATGAAATTGTAGTCGATGCCTTTAATCACCAGCAGCCATGTGAATTCCAAAAGAAGCTGAAGAAGCTGACTCTAAAATAAGCACTGATTTGAACATATTCTTGATCTACCCACTTAAGAGCTCTCAGGAATGTTCACTGCCTTCCACCTGTGCTAGTCACAGATCCAGCACACGAAGCACTGATATCACCTGTCCAGGGACGCATTTCTTTCTTCTTTAGCTGTCTGTGGAACACAACAAGCTGCGGAGCTATAAAAATGGAAAGGGGGAACACTTGAGAGGCAGTTTTTTAGTGCTGTGGTCACTCCTGGAAACCTTTTAGGTAGGAACACAGCTGTCTAATTTACCTCAAGATGGGCTGTCTACTTCTAGGGTTTTGACTCCTTCAGTTAGCTCAGTCTAAACAGCCAGTACAGGGGAAGGAAGCCCTTGGCTTGGCCCTCCATCTCAGACTGTCATCACCCTGCCCACTTCCCCCTTCAGTAATCACCATCTCTCCTGATTACCCAGCTCCCAGCCCATCCCACCGAGACCTAGACAGGAAACCAGCCCCGGCCCACCACAAAGACAGAGGAGGAAAATCCGGATCCTCCAGAGAGCTTCCAGTCCTCACTTTGTTGTGCCTTTTAAAAAGCGTTTTGCATAAACACTCTAAAAGCTTTCTTGTCCTTATCAGACTAGTCCACACACACAAACACACATAAGTGGAAAAAACAAAAGCACACAATCCCTGGCCCCATTTGACTGTAGAGGTGCACACAAATATATTACTAACACCTCTCCATCAATGACCATGACTACAAATGCAGATTAAAAGCAACAGATTCAGACTGGGTGCTACACATCCATTTTCTAAATGCTTTATCCAGCACAGGGTCACGGGGGTGTCAGATCCTGTCCCCGCAACCTACAGGAACAAGGCATGGAACATCCTGGACAGGATGCCAGTCCTTCACAGGGCAGACACACAGACACGCACTCGGACCAGAGCCAATGTTTCCCAGAAGCCAATTAACCTGCCACTATGTCTTTGGATGGTGGGAGGAAACCGGAGCACCTGGAGGAAAACCACAAGAACATGGGGAGAGCATACAAAATGGTAACTAATTAGCCCAGAAATTGGAATGCTTTTTGTAAGATCTGGCCACGTTTAGCGCTTGTGTTTTGATTTATTTATTTAAGTACATGAACAGGAGCCCAACCTGTGTTTTCTCAGTCTTGTCGCTGTCCAAACTGCCATAGTACCTCTCAGGGTCATCTCCCAAGGCAATGAGAGTGGCATTGTCGTCCTCCGCTGGCCTCTTCATCAACATGGCCGCCAGTCTGTGCACTGCTGGTCACCCCTGTACCATACACCCCCCTGTGATGAGGACACAACGGCTCTCTTCCTCCCCTCCGCACCACCGACTGACCCCGCAGGCCCACTCCAGAAATCTTCTCTTCAGCTGTTGTTGGTTTTGGGAAATGTCGGTATGCAACTGGATTTCAGTTGGGTCCTTATTGGAAAAACTTTCTAGACTGCCAGACCCAGCAGGCCCAGGAATAGCGACAGTACAATATGTCTGGGGGGAGAAAAGAGAGTATTTTCAGAAATATGAACTTGTTGTCGTGCCAGGGCTTTGGATGTTATACAACATTGTGGTTTTTCTAGGAAGAACATGTCCTTCCAGCTTCTTATCTCATAGTGACACACAATTTCCCATGAGCCATAAAAAGTTAAGCATGAAGAAAAAGTTAATTGAATGATTATTATTTTAATTTATTTAATCACCGTGCCCTTCACAACAGTCTGCTCCAAAGTACTGCTGATTGCTATAGTTATTCACAACTATTAAACTAACAAGAATATAATAATGTCCATAATTTTCCAATTCACGGTTGCAGGAGAGCTGGAGCCTATCCCAGACAGCAACAGGCACAAGGCAGGGCAGACACGCAGACACACACAGGGGGCCAAGTTTCCTAGAAGCAAGTAATCCTACCAATATTGTTTTAGGGCAGTGGGAGGAAACTGGAGCACCTGGAGGAAAACCACGCAAACAGAGGGAGAACTCCACATAGAGAGCATCCCGAGTCAGACAAAGAGCCCGGGGCCCCAGCAATGCGAGTCAGCATAGTTAACCTCTGCACCACCAACGAGTATAATCATACTGTCCAATTCAAGACAAGAATCTATGCATGATAAAAAATGTCTCATAGTACAAAACTGAAAGCAAACAAGGATCGTCAAGAGCCATTTCAGCGTTGAAACTATTCCAAATAACTCAGTCCGAACCCAAACTTTATTTTCAGGGATTTACTGGCAACACGGTTCTGACTGCCCATGGAATAACACACCATAAAACAGGTGTGAAATATTTACCAGCTAATCATAGCACAACTAGAGGCAAAATTAGAACCAGACACTTCAAAACCATGTCAACATTTTCTTGCATTCTATGTCATTCTATATAGAAAACAGTACAATATAATAAAGAAAAGCCCTTTTGTAAATAATTGCAAAAGTGTTATCTGTAAAGTCAGCAAAATGCATCTATGAAGTATTTCACAAAGGAAAAGAGCAGTGTGATGTCTCATTTCCCTGTGAGACATCCTGACATATGCCCTGTGGAGCAGACAGAACAGGTGTACATACCTCAAAACACAGAGCCTGGTGATTCCTCAAGAGCGGCTGTGCCAGTCTAGTCTAGGGTGGGGTGGTCCCAGCCCTGTGTTTTGGGTCTTGGGGCTGTCTGCCCTCTCTGTCAAGACCAACCTCACACACCTCTACAGTATGGTGGCTGACTGTAGGAGAATTCCAGACCTACAGAATACCGACTCTCCACACATTTCAGAATGCATCAGTGCCACCTCACTGACGTTGGGCGTGGTTTATTTTTTTGCCATGACCAATCAGAAGCAAGCATGTCTGGCAGGAACTAGGCTCTCATTTGCCTATTCAAATGCACACATTCCACATCCTTTGAATAATACCTAGGTACTGTTTCATTGCAGCGGTTTAAGACAAACTGCTTGTCTAACAGTCTTAATGGTACCCAGGGCTCCAGTCCAGATTTGATTGTCCAGAGGTGGTTTACTAATAGGCATGACAGAAGAATTATTCTGATCCTTAAAAATCTACCCAGTCAAACTGTCAAAGATGATAGCCTACATTCTTTCAAGAAACAACTGGATGAAATGTTCACATCATTTAGCTACTAACAACTAAGTAAGCTATATGGCTTGCTGTCTATTTTAAATTAAACTAACTCCAAAAATGTTGATTAATGTGTATTGCAATAAGTATAGATTTCTAAAAATTATAGTTTGAAGAACCTGAATGAAGATCTCTGTCCACTCAAAAGATATAGTCAAAGAAGGAAACTGTATTGGGTGCATCTTCTTCTTTTGCCTGAAAAGCACTATTCTCGTCCTTTCTGTAAGTGATATATACACTCCTCCCCCTTGGAGATCTCCCAAGTTATTGACAAACTTAAAAGAACAAACTTCTGAATCGGCAGGGAAACACCTAACTCCAGTCTAACCCACAGAGAAGTGCATTCAAAACTGAGAAGGGGTTGTAGAAGGCTGCCATGTTGTTGAAGCCGATATCCTGGCATCCTTCAAGAAACAGCAGGATGAGACTCTTGGATTAATTAGCTATTAGCAACTGAGCATCCAGATGAGCCTAATGGCTTCCTCTTGGTTGTAACCTTTCTTATATTTCAGTTTTGGTCAACCGATTCTGTATGGACAAACCAAACAACAGGATAAGCTGAAACATGAGATCCTAACCTATTAACTTGAGCAGGTAAAGAACATTCCCAAGACACATCTATGATCATGCAGCAGGTGGAGAAATGAGACTTTGGCCAGCCTGACCTGAGTATGTATGGTATGATTTGTTGTGCTGGTTCTGTAATAAAATACTGGCTATTTAATTTAAACAGGTTATTTTCATATAGTTATATACCTGTTTATCAGCACAAAATGAGAACTCTTTGCAAGTTAAAACATATTCTTCACCTTTTACAACTACACAGCTATGGTGTATTAATGCTTGATAACAAAATGATTTTCAGGAAACGCAAGCATTCAGTAAGCAACACCTTAATCATCCTGATTTTTCAAAAGGCCTAATAGATGTCTCTCTTTATGTTAGGCTAAGTGAAATGAATTAAATTACTCACAACTCACAATAACCCCCAAGAGCTATAAATTAGGTCTTCAGATGGAAAAGATCCCTAAACTGTGGTCAGACTAAGAAAGCAATGTTTTAAAGTCACTTTTTAAAGTCACTTCATTTGTTGCATAATTTGTGTGCAGCAATATATAAGCGTTAAAATATACGAAGTCCATTAACAAGCTATAGTAACCTAAATATGGCATCTGACTTACTAGTTGATCTTTAACCTAAGTTTAGACAGAACCAGGACAGTTTTCTTCATTTCACCAACCTAAAAACCTTGGGAACATTTTACAGGGTTGATTCAGCCAAAAAAAAAAGTTTCAGCAATATCCTTTACTGCAGATTGATGGCAAAAGTAATCTTTCAATAAGTTAAGTCTTTTCTTGGCTCCACCCAGTTACCTTTTATGTTGGACTTCAGCTCCACAACATCGCAGGGTTCTTGGCAAACGTGTGCAAAGAAATGAAACAAGAATTTCCAGAATTTCCTCGTTGAAACTGATTCCCAGGGGACGCAGATGGAGCTATTGGTCCTGCAGTTTATTCAGGAAACTGGAAGAAAGGAAAAAGACACAAAATCCTTTTCCTCACCAGCTGTCTAAACTACTCTACCCTTGTTTCCTTGGTTGCTGTGATAATGGAGCCATCTACCCTGTCATTTCCTCACTCCCCTTTCAAATTTTGCCATTTCATCCTCTCTGTCGATCTCCCTCTGGCTCTCTCACCCTGTGCCTGTGTCCCTCCTTCTCTGTTCGGTTACTCAGTCGCAGACACTCCCAGTGAAAGCCAGCTCAATAACAGGAGCTGTGAAAGTAAACAGGAACAGGCTGCTGGTACATCCTGCAGAGGCATTAGAGCAGGGATTCCACACTCCTCTCCTCAAGAGTCTGCTAGTTGTTACTCTAATTGCTAAAACACAACTGTTTTTTGTGCCTAGTACATGCATACTCTCTAGCTCCCAGACTTACAGAAGTTCAAGGCTTGCTGCATAGTGTTAAAATTAATGATCATAAGAAAGGTTACAAATGAGCAGAGCTGTTTAGCTGCTCACAGCTTCAAGGATCTCATTCAGTTGTTACTTGAAAGCCAGGGTATCAACATGCTTTGGAAGCTTATGTGTCTGTGGACTTCTGTATCCTTTGCTTCTTGCAATACTAAAATGTGTTTTGTTTTATTCAGCTCTTCATTCCTAACTCAGCTTTCACATGGCAGAAGTGGTCTCGGAAAATGTTTTCTCGCTGCCCCCTGCTGGAAGTGGAGTTGAAAGCAGGTGCGCTTCCAATCGGGAGAAAACCGGATGTCTTGACCAAACACATCAGTAATTATTCACTTAGATAGACTAAGTAAGTGTAAGATAAGATCATGTCGTCTATGCTGCCCCAATGGGCACCATTTTCAGCCCTTACGACTGAACACAGATACCCAGATCCAGCTGGGACTATTAGAAAACTGCAGGTGATAAACTAAATCAACTGATCTCACTTTTGATATTATTGATAACAGGTAGTAGATCCCTTGAAACAGAACTGTTTTTTAACGATAATTAGTGCTTCATACTGCAGATTAACACCACACACACTGACATTCTTCTGGGCGGTTGACAGAAAACCTTGGTTTTCTCTAGTGTTAAAGAGCTTAAAAACACCTCACTGTACTTTATCATCCCCCATGACGTGATTTGCTTAGAGTCAGAGACACTGAAGTGCTGTCAGCCATGAATGATCAATTCAGCCTAATGATACCAAAAACATGTCACCAATATCCAAAATCTGTAAACTTTATTTTTCTAAAAACATGCATAGAATATGCTTCTTTCAATACTCATAACTTACATGTGGAGATACGTCATCTCCAGCCATCCCCATCATTTTTTTCTTCTAGACCAAGAAGCACTTGAAAGCAGGCTGTTTTAAACGAATGCTACATTTTTGCACAATCCAGTGATATTTGTTTTGCCCTGTATATATATATATCATCCCAATATCCTCAGCTCTGACCAAAAGGGATCACTTTTCATTTGTTCTTCATTTATTATATAATACATTCAGTTTTAAAACAATCAAGCATTTGTAAAACTTAGTAAAAACAAGCAACAATCAAAAGAAAATAAAGCACATCACGTGCCCTCCTCACTTCAGAGCTTCAGTCTTTGCTGAAAGCACATTGTGTGGAGTATGCAGCATGTGAACTAGTTTCTTTCAGTGCCAATAAAAATAGGTCTAAAAGTGCAGCTCAGCCTTCAAATGCATATGGAGGAACAAAGCACAAAACTTAGCAGTCCGCCTAGTGTTTATTATTAAAAATGGAAAAGAAAGATAATAAAAAGAAGATACTGCACCCCCCCACACACACACCTTACTTGGCTTGGGTTTTCTTATTCTAGATTTAAAATGCCTTTTTACACAGCTTTTCAGCTTACTGTGGAAAAAACGGTTCACCCAGGTACACACAAGATTGCTCTTCACTTCCTCCAACAGAAACTGGGAATGCCATTCCCCAAAATGAAGCGATCCAGACCCTTGTTAGAACTACCTATTTACTCTATTAGACCTTTTCGAAAAATCATTTTGAGGTCCTTCAAAATTGCCATATTAAAAAACATTTGTGTAGCTCACCTAAGACATTTTAGATACTGAAACGATCAAATAGAGTTAATTCTATATACAGAATAGAATTCAGGAAAGTTAGGAAAGATCATTCAGGAAACTGACACAAACATTGTGGCATCAGGCCAGGAAACTTGTCTCAGTGAGGGACGAGTGTTTTACAGCACCCCAACTCAAATGCAAAAAAGAGGGAATTAAGTTATATTACAGTGGCAAAGAACTAACCAGTCCAGGACTTTATTCCACCTCATGAACACTTAGAGCTCAATTATCCCATTTTTCTCTGCTCTTACTGTCCACTTTCCAGACTAACGAATGACTAACAAAGCCTTTTAATGGAACTAAATAGCCTCCCACACTTTGGTTGGTGTACAGAGGGCAGAAGAAAATAGTCTGGCAGGTCTTGACAGACCCCGTGAATCTCCTAAATGACAGGAAACCAACCTATCCCCGCTAATAAAGTACTTCTGTCGTACTGCTGCTGTTGCAGAAGAAACAGAAAACTGAATACTGAAATCTACTATTAAATACAGTGCCTTGCGAAAGTATTCGGCCCCCTTGAACTTTTCAACCTTTTGCCACATTTCAGGCTTCAAACATAAAGATATAATTTTTTT